CTCAATAAACAATGAATTGAGAAGCCAAATGATCCAATTAAAAGATGGGCTAAAGATCTAAACAGAGAGTTCTCAGAGGAAGAAATAAAGATGGCTAAGAAACATCTCAAAAAGTGTTCAACATTGTTAGTAATTAGGGAAATGCAAGTTAAAACTACCCTAAGGTATCACCTTACCCCAATCAGACTGGCTAGGATCAAGAGAACAAAAGGAACCAAAAGCTGGCGAGGATGTGGACAAAGGGGGATGGTCATTCACTGCTGGTAGGATTGTAAACTCATGCAACCTCTATGGAAAAGTGTGGCGAACTCTTAAAAATCTAAAAATGAACCTATCATATGACCCGGTTATACCACTCCTTGGCATATACCCAAAGGACTCATCCTATTGTAGAAACACTTGTACAACCATGGTTGTTGCTGCTCTTTTCAAAATAGCTAAGAGATGGAAGCAACCTAAGTGCCCCTCAAAAGACGAGTGGTTAAAAAAATGTGGCATATTTACACAATGGAGTTCTATTCAGCAGTAAAGAAAGATAAAATAATGAAATTTGCAGGTAAATGGATCTAGACACTGTTAGACTAAGTGAAGTAAGACAGACTCAGAAAAACAAACTACATATGTTCTCCCTCATATCTGGCTCCTAGCACCAAATCCTTTTAAATTCCAGGTCCTTTTAATAAGATGATGCTATACAGCAGTCCCTTCTGCATGAAATAACTACCATCATAACAACTTCAGGTGAGCCTGGTCGCTAAAAATTGTCACAACTGAGCTTGTTGACGGTTCTGTTCATTCACTAATGGAGGGCCAAGCAGGGTCATTGGACCCACCCTCACGGGAGTATCCAGCCACTCTTCCCAGCCAACTGTATGTAATTTGGCCCTAATCACACATGGCCTCCCAGATTTGGGGAGGGCTAAACTATACAATCTGGGGAAGAATAGCAAGAGAAGGAATGACCCATGCTGGGTAAAGGTTTTCCAGTGTGCATACCCTCAGTCATACACATACCTCAGCAACCTCCATAAGTAAGCTCAGAAAGTTCATTGGTTCCCCAGTAAAACTTTAATCAGAACCTTAAAAGGGAATAAGCATTGCTTTAATCAGAACCTTAAAAGGGAATAAGCATTGCTTAGCATCCCCAGGAAAAGGGAATATTTATTTGTTAATGCTATTATGACTCATAATTATTTTTAAAAAGAAAAGAAAATGAGAATGTAAAAGGCATTAAAAGGTTATGGGAAGGGAGATATTTTCTAAAATAGAAAAAAATGAGAAAGCCTAAGCAAGTGATGAAGGTCTGTGTAGTTTTGTTATGATATATAAAGGATGAGACATAATCTTAAATTTTCTATGGTCATAGTATAGTCAACTAGTTTAAGGAACAAAATATATATCTACTCAAGGTTTATCTGAGACTATTTGGTTTTTTACACAAGCCTTATCTACACATGATAATTAAAAGTACCAGACTAATTGAACTAACCTTATTGGATGTTTAACAGCCATACTTTGAGGCCTATACTAATCTGGTCAGAGGGACTTAAAGGAGAGTTTTTGCTCCTTGCCCTCCAAGGTCGACTAAGTTCCAGGGGACTATGGAGCATCACTCAAAATGTCCTATAACTCTGGTAAGCCACCTGTCCTCTTGTTCAGGGAAGCCATGGAGATGCCAGCATGATGGACTTGAACCAGTGTCCAGTCTACAAAAAGGGGAGTCAAGACAGAGGATATGGTGAAGCAGGACCTTTGACTTATCTTCACATAGATGGAACTGGTAAAAGAAAGGATCCAGGAGCTCCTCCCAAGCCCATGTGACCCCTGAGGAACAGATCCTCAAATGACCTTAAGTGTAAAAATAAAGGATTTATTTGGGCCAACTCTGCGGTCTTAAACACCCAAAAAGAAAGTATAACCAAAGAGTAACGTGATCAGTATATTTCTTTAAGAGTTTAAGGGATTACCCTTCCCAGACATTAGGCTTAAGTCCCATAAAAAGTTATTAGACAATTATTTCTCATTGATGATTTTGTTTCTAACCAGAAAGTGCTGCTCAGATGTAAGACTTCAAATCTTGGTCTCCAATACTGTAGTATCCACCTGTAGTTAAGGGAGACATCTATTGTTCTAAAATGATAGATTCATTTGTTTTCTCTCCCTATGTAGAAGCCTTTGAGAGGGAACTGACATTCATTCTAACCACTCCAACAGCTATCAAAATACCTGAAAGCAAAACCTGAATCCATCACTCTAGAATCTAGCCTTGGAAGAGAAAAGAAAAATGAGGAGGAACCCAATGGAGGGATGCTTTTGGAAGCCCTTGTCAAGAAACTCCAATGGATTCTCATATGAACATTTGAAAATTGTAGGAACATTTGAAAATTGCCCTTTTCTGACTTTTTTCTAGTTCCCTGTCTATAACTCTTGCCTTTACTTCTCCTTCACATCTCCTAGTCATGATTCAAGGACTTTCTTTTCCCCTTAGAGATAAGAGTTATGCAATTTGGGAGTCTTTTAGATAGACCCACTGAAGGAGTACTCCAATTGCCTCATCCTGCATCACTGTTCAGCATGGAAGAAGCCAGAGCGGTCTGTGTCCCTATTCCCTACTGGCAATTTGGGTAACCTCTTCAGAGGATGGTGTGATAAGAATAGGAGGTAGGAATTGGCTAGGCAGTTTGGAATAAAAAGACACCAAAGTAAAGTAGCCAGTTTCTTGGCTAAAAGTCAAAATGTCCTTGGGCCTCTTAGCAACATACTCTGTTCCAAAGACCAAAAATGTTGAAAGTATTTGGGAGCTTGTATCTAATCTTTAAAAGATTTTAGGGATACCTCTTCACAGGGGGACAATGTTAGAGCATCCAAAGCCCCATAAAAATAAATAAATAAATCAAAGAAGAAGAAAGAGTACATGAAGTTATCAGAAAAACGTGATGGGGAGATATGGGAGGAGTTGGAGTGGAGGGAGTGGGCATCTATTTCATCAAAACACCTTTATGCATGTATAAAATTATCAATAAATTATTTATTTAAATAAAAAAATTTTTAAAAAAGAAAAAATCTGGGGCTGGGGGCTGGAAACATGACTAAGAGATTAAGAGCACTGGCTGCTCTTACAGAGGGCCCAGCATACACATGGTGAACTCACATACATGCAGGTAAGACACACATACACATAAAATAAAAACAAATAAATCTTTTTTAAAAACTTTAGAAAAGAAAATCACTGTCAGAAAACCAGTTTGGAATCATGTAATAGTGACAGAAGTATATTTGCTAAGTGTACTTCCCAGTGACTATAAGCAAGATACGTTTATTTTTACCTTGAAATAAATAGTTGATGTAAAGAAGAGGGGTGCTAGATGATCAAAAAGAAGTGGCTTTACCTCTAGGAAACAGAAATTAAATGATTATTCAAAATGATTTTAATTCATATTACAGTGAATCAATGAGTCTAGATTTCTGTGATACATACCCGAGAAGCTACTAAAAGGAATCCAGGCTACAAGCTGAAGGAACTGTGATCGACAAGAGAAGCCATCCCAGAGAGGCAGGCTCTTATACAGGAATGCTTCACAGGAATAAAACCCCTCCTGAAACACAAGGTGACCATAAACCCTGACATGACATGTATTCTTGAACAACCACTTTCCTTTGCGCTACAGTTATTTCCAATACATGAGGGCATGTGGACAGCGCTGATACACGAGTTCCAGCTTCAAATGCAACTCAAGGATATCCAGAACAGTAATCCAGCTGCTAGAACATACTTCACACTCAAAACTGTTGCTACTAAGGACACAAGTCAAGTGCTAGAGATGTAGCCCAGCTGGTCGAGTGACTGCCTAGCTTGCATGAAACCCTCGGTTCAATCCCCACCACCACATAAACTGGGCATGGTGGTACGCACTTGCAATCCCAGTATTCAAGAGGTGAAGGCAGGAGGAGCAGTAGTTCAGGGCCATCTTAGCTACACAGTGACTTTGAGACCAGCCTGAGCTGCATAAGACCCTGTCAAAACACTGACTAATCAATTAATTAAAAAGAACGCAAGTCATTGGCTAGGGACTGGGTCAGTGTTAGAGTAAGTGCTTAATTAATATGCATAAAGACTTGGGTTTCATATCCAGACCTAACCCTGACCTCCCGAAAAAGAACACAAGTAGTAATCCTATACGATTTACATGCCTAGCTAATTCAACCAAATGCATTAAATTATTTGTTCTCTTAAAATTACAGGTCTGTCCATTTCATTTTCAAATGTAAATTTATTCTTTCTTCAAATCTAATAGTACAAAAATAAGTCAGTCCAACTTAGTTCTATAAATTTCAAATTGAGCAAATATTTATAAAAGGTGTCAAAAATAAGAAAAATAAATTTTAAAAAATTAAAAATAAAAGATGTCAGGTAATAGGACTCAGAGTACGGCTCAGTTGGTAGAGTGCTTGCCTAGTATGCATAAGGCCTCGAGTTCAGGCCCACACACTGCATAAATTCAGGTGTGGTGGCATATGCCTGTGATACATGAAATCCTAGCTCTGAAAACATTTTTTAAATTAAAGTCAGAGGGACTGAAGAGACGGCTCAGTGGTTAACAGCACTTGCTGCTCTTGCAGAGGACTTGGGTTTGGTTCCCAGCACCCATATGGTGACTCACAACCATCCATAACTACTTCCAGGGGTTCTGATGCCTCTTCTGGCCTCTGCAGACATTGCATGCATGTTGTACACATACATACATGCAGGTAAAACACTCATAACATAAAAAATAAAAATAAATGTTTTTTAAAGTTGGGTACTAAAGTAAATATTTACAATGGACATTCAAATAAAGTTTAGCATGAGTGTAGGAAACAAGTGGAATCTTACTTGTAAGAAGCATTCCGCCCTGATGACAGTGTCCAGAAAGTTTATAAATTCTTTTCCTTCTTCACAGTTTTTCATTTTATACCAAATATATTCTATAGCAGAAATAGTAAATATTAGCATCTGGTTGTACAATAATAAAAACTACATGAAATAGAATTATCATTACAAAAAAAAAGAAAAAAATTTTTAAATTGTACAATTCACATATCCTAGCTAACTCGCACTGTAGATTCTAACAGGGGTGTGGAGGTGATAGTAAGCAATAGGAATAATTTTGCTCCTCAAAAACACAGCAATAAAGGGAAAGCTTATAGTGAAAACAACTGGAAAACTCCATTTACAATGAAAGACATGAACTTCATGTCACATAGCAATCCAAGAGACCATAAATATATGATTGCAAAGACTCAGGTAGCTGGGTATGGTGGTGCACGCCTTTAGTCCTAGTACTTGGGTGGGAGGCAGATCTCTGTGAGATGGAGGCCAGCATTGTCTACAAAGCAAGTTCCAGACCAGCCAGGACTTCATAGTGAGATCTTGATGGGAGGGAGGGAGGGAGGGAGGGAGGGAGGAAGGAAGGAAGGAAAGAAAGACAGACACACAGACAGAAAGTCAAAAGAAAGAAAGAAAGAAAGAGAGAGAGAGAGAGAGAGAGGAAGGAAGGAAGGAAGGAAGGAAGGAAGGAAGGAAGGAAGGAATAAAGAAGCCAAGTGTAGTGGTGCACGCCTTTAATCCCAGCACTTGAGAGGCAGAAGCAGGTGGATTTCTGAGTTCAAGGCCAGCTGGTCTACACAGTAACTTCTAGGCTAGCTGGGGCTACAGAGAGACCCTGTCTCAAAAACACCAAAAAAAAAACCCAAAAACAAAACTAACTAACTAACTAACTAACTAACTAACTAACTAACTAATGAAAAAAGAAAAAGAGACTCAGGTACAGTAAGTTGAATATAAGCTGCAAGTGGTAAGAATTTACTATGTGGAAATCGAATGAATTGTATCACATCTCCTGTAAATAAATACACTAAATCAAAGGAATAACAGCCTATACATGACTTTTACTTCAAATCCTTGAATACTCAGGAATTGGCTATCCAGGAAAGAAGCACTCATTCTGGTCAACAAACTAGAGAAAAATGCCACTGTGAATGAAGGGAATGATCAGGCTTTCCTATGACCTTCAAGAAAGACTCCTCACTGTCCCTTTAATTCTATAACTAAGCACACTTCTATTGACCAACATCTCTCCCATATATGCTGCTGGCACAGCAAAGCTATTCAACTTGACACACATGAGCATTTTGATCATCAGAAAGAATCATATCTCTTATAAAATAGTAAGTTGACAGTGTATCTTATAAACCAGTTTCCTCTGAGTTGGCTTAGCACTAATTAATCCAGTAATTCTTGCTGATGGCATGTTTCTGGACATACAAGGAAGAAGAGTCCTTGGATTGAGACGCTCATCAAAGGACAGTCATCTGGTGAGTTTTGCTGACCATAAGCAGTGTTTCTTTTTTTTAATATTTTTTTATTTATATTTTTATTTTATGTGTATGAATGTATTGCTTGCATGTAGGTAAGTGCATTCATGTCGTGCAATGCCCACGGGAGGACAGAAGAGGCTGCTGGATTCCCTGGACCTGGAGTTATGGAGAGTTGTTAGCTGCCATGTGGGTGCTGGGATTTGAACCCAGGTCTTCTGCAAGAACAGCACTGATCCATCTTTCCATTCCCCAAGCAGTGTTTCTTTAACACCACTCCTTTCCCACTGTCTTAAAATGACAACACCACAAACATTCATGCTCAGGATATATGATTACCAAAGAAATAATTACAGCATATTAAGAGTCCCCTGGCCTAGAATTTTTAAACTAAAATAAATCTACACATTATCTCTTACACTCTCATTTATCCAGTGCTCTTCTGTATTGGTTCTTACCTTCTTGTAATGTTTGACTCAACCAGTAATAGAACCTCAGTAAGATTGACTCATCTCTGACACAATTAACATAGTGAAGTAGTATAGAGTTGTTTAGCACTGAACCCATCTGAGAAGGCAGCTGCAAAGATAGAACAGTCAACTGTAAGTCCAGGCAAAGTAGGTCAAAGTAATAAGTAAAACATTATATAGGAAATATACAACAAAAATAGAGAACACAGGGCTGGGGATATGGCTCAGTGCTAGAGTATTTGCCTAGCATGTGTGAGCCTATGAGTTCAGCTGCAAGTACTGAAAAGAAAAGGGGTCATCAAGCATCAGGCGGGCATGGTGGCGCACACCTTTAATCCCAGCACTCTCAAGACAGAGGCAGGCGGATCTCTGAGACCAAAGTCAGTCTGATCTACATAGCGAGTTCCAGGCCAACTAGCACTACAGGGAGACCCTGTCTCAAAAAAAGATAAAAAAAATGGGGGCTATCAAGATTAAACAAAACAATGCAAATCAGCACATGGTCCACTCACATACCTCTAAGCAATGGATGTTCTGTAAAAGTTGAGGAAAACTTTGAAGTTGTTCTAGTGGAAGTGAGCTACTGCCACCAAGACAATCAGAAAGATTCATTTTCTTTTCCCCACCTTCTTTAGCATAGCTACCAGAATTTACCACTGGTATAATTGAATGAGAATTGCATTTCTAAAAGAAAGATAACACAACCATTAATCAATGCATTAAAACTATAAAGTATAAAATTAAACTATAAAAACTATTTTTAAAAAGTCATTGTTAAAGTATTTCAATTAATGGAGTCTGAATGTGGTTTATATAGAATCTTAGGTTATCAAAATCTACTTAATATCTACAACCTCCAAATCTACTTAAATATCTGTAGCCTCCAACATCTGAATGATTATTATTTAAATCTTATCTTTGAAAAAAGCCACATGTCCTTTGCTGTTTTAGATACTTTTCATGACCCCTTTATTTAGAAATTTCAACAACTTAAAGTACATGAAGCCAGGAATATAGATACTTACTCTTCTTAGAAAACGGACATTAACTGGACCTAATGCCAGCTTTAGAGGTTCTGGAAAAGGTCCCTGGTTTCTTAGCCTCACAGCATGGAGAGCTGAAGCCCACGGATTTTCTGATTTCTTAAAGTAGATCTATAAATTGGGGTATAAAAAACAGAATACTAGGTACTCATAAGTCAGAGCTACATAAAGTCCAAAACTATGAATTGAAAGCATATTATTTATGAAATCTTTACACACTCATAAATTCATTTAATGTTTTTCTTTCCTAATCAAGAATCTATTATGTATCAAAGGGATCAACACAAAGGGCCAATCCCTAATACAGTTTCTCCCAAAGGGGGGGTTACTCCAAATCTTTATATTAAATTTAAGAAAAATAAGGCATTTTGCCAGGTGTTGTGGTATATACCTGTAATCCAGCACTTGGGAGGCACAGAAAGGATGATGAGTTGGAGGCCAGCCTGGGCTAACATAGTACAATCCTTTCTCAAACCAAATAAAATAAATAAAAACATATCCAGTCTCAAAAGGACTTATCTCTCATCAATCCCTTACCTTCCTTCTTGCAGGCAAAGATACAGAAATCAAAGTAGGAGCAAAGAACTTATATAGTGACAACAAAGCCTGGAGATGAGGCTGCATTCCCTGAAAAAAAACAAGAATTTTCCATTTTCAATTCAGTAGCCAAATAGAAACTAATAAACAAATAACCAAAAAGAAGGAAAGAGCTGATAAAATTAAACATCCAACCTCTAATTTTACTGTAAGACAAAACTACAAAAATATTTTATAGAAAATATAATAGTATGCCAGGTGTGGTGGAGCATGCCTTTAATCCCAGCACTTGAGAGGCAGAGGCAAGCAGATCTCTGTGAGTTCAAGGCCAGCTTGGTCTACATAGGGAGTTCCAGGCCAGCTGGGGTTATAGGGAGACCCTGTCTCAAAAAGACCAAAATAC